AACTAAATATTTATTTGTTTTACTCTATTAGAAACAATAGAGTAGCTATTTTTTTAAAAAAAATATGATGCATGAAATATATGTTGTGTAATGCTCACAATATCTATAAGAAAACTTGCTTGGATATGATTTAAAAATTAATTATTTGTTGCATATTTTCAAATAGTTAGTGTTAAAAAATAAGATCTGTGTTAAATTTATGCATTGTTCTTTTTTAAAGTTATATACCCGTTAATATCATTTTTGAAGTTGAATATAGATTTATGGATAAGAGTTTTTCATAAATAATCATTTTATTCTATCTCTCTGTGAACACATACTCTATCTATAATTATATATATATATATCTATTAACTATCTTAGAATTCGAACTGCTCACATATATACAAATACGTATAAAGTATCAGTTTTCTGTGAAAATAAAAAATAATATGTTTGGAAATATATAAATTATCATTACTAAATATTTTTTCAGAGTAAAGATATCTATTTTCATTTTATTTGTTACGCGTGCTATTAGGAATGGAACAGTTGTGACAGTTAAAAATTTTTTCATCGTAAAATTTGATAAATATTTACTTTAAGAATCGATTACAAATTATAATTATTTATAGATTCAGTTTTTATTTTGTTTTAAAAAAATTCATGGTTTTAAAATGTAATTGAGTTTTGAACCTTATATACCGTTGTTTAAGAGTTTATAAATAATAAAGGTTTATATCTCACGATGTTTCGAAGAGAAAAAAATCATTTTAAAGAAAACGGCAAGTTTAAGATTCATAAGGATTTAAAAACTTGGGAACAGTTTAAATATTTTAGAAACTTATGCCGACTTTTAGCTTCACAATGCATTAAAATATTTTTTCGAGGCACAGTAAACATTTTAAAAGTCAAAAACTGTAATAGGGCACGGAGTCCTTGACGGAATCCATTAAATTTCAATATTTAAACTCAATAATTATTTATAAATAAAGAACTGAGTAGAAGGGGATGGTTGTAAAAGCAAACGATCCACCTCTTGCATAGGTAGATGCCCCCTTATTGAGGAAACTGCTAGCGCTCCCAGTCATCATAATTCAGGCGTGTTTAGGATGGCACAAGGATTTTCGTAAGAAACTACAAAGGGAGATATGGGTCACGTGATACACAGGCACATTCTGTAAAATCTAAATCTATCCCGTGCATTAGGGATAATGATGCCCCCTCTACCGGGCGTATTTTCTTGACAGATGTTTTTGATAACTTGTTATTTCAACAGCTCTCTCTCTCTCGAAAAAGAGTTTGCTGGAGCGCCGCTCTCTATTATTTGCAGAGTTCTCTCTCTTTCCAAGATATCTCATTCGACACGGTGTCGTGGGCGGGGAGGGTGCTTCAGTTAACTCGCGCTGCATCTTGGGAGTTTGTAATTTAAATATGTGTTTTTCTCTCCAAATCGCGCGTCGATGGAAGCTCAGTAGTGCCTACAGAAGGGGGGCGTTGAAATATGAGCTACTTAATGAAGTTGGCGAGGAAATATTGCTCAAAATTCCATTTGGCGTGTATAGTATTCATTATAATTTGCGATGTAATAATATAATTGGCGACATATTACTACTGTTTTGCTTTCAAGACTTGAATACATTTTAAAATTAGTTTGTAGCTTTTTGAGACAGCTACACTTAATCATGCTTAAAGTAATGGTCTCATTAAAATGTTCTGGAATTTATTCGTGCAGCTTCAAGATGAACCATTAAAATTACGAGACAAAATTATTATGTCATTTAATCCTTTACCATGCCGTGGTAAATAAGCTTACCTTCAAATTTATCAATTTAATCTTTCTATCAGTCATCTTCATCGGTCTAATTTACAATTCATGTTACATATTGTGGTATTTCCAAACATATTTCATACACTTGTTGAGTTTTCTATGTCCTGATCTGTTTTCATAAATTTAACGGGAAATAATATATAGTAATTCTTAATTTTGTCATTATCATCTAAGAATATAAAATATTTTTAATTCACTGTTTCTTTTGAAGGTTGTAGCGTTTACAAAACATATTTTAGAAATTTCAAGTAGGCAGAGGTAAAAGGAAACAAAATGTATGTAAATGATTTCCAATATCACACAGTGGGTCGGGGTAAATGTATTCCCAATAATTAAAGGAATCTTAAAAATTAAATAATTTTACGTAATAAGCTAAATTATTTCCTTTTCCTTAATTAATCTCGTCCACCAGAATATTTTAAGGTACCATTGCTAGAAAAAATTAGCCTGGTAAAGTGTTAATGTTATTCTAATAATTTTTAATCCTTTTTAATTATGGTCTACCGAACTTTACTATTCAACTACGTTTTGAAAACAAACTGAATTGAATACTGGAATTGTATACTTGAATATAAAACTAATATATAATGATAATGGTGAATATGATTCAATTTTCATGAGCTTTGTTGTTTAAAAAATAGGCTATAGAAAAAAGTAAGGTTTTTCTCGTAGTTAAAACGATTGGTTTAAATTGATATACATTTCAGCGATTAAACTAGTTTCTAATAAATTGAAAATTTCTAATAAATTAACTTTCAAATAATTTTAGTTTCCTTTTGATCTCAAGAGACGAGCCTGATAAGCTTTAATTTTATTATTTTTTCCCAATGGGGCTGCGTTTTAGCAACTTAGTCTTGGAAGGCATGGCAAGCCCCCAAACTTGAGAACCATTTCATGGAGGTACCATCTAGCGGCGGCCTTGTTACCAAATTCGGACGCTTTAATTAATTTTTTTAATTCAAGCCCTTGTCTGATTCTAAATATTGCCATGATTTAATTTTGCCGAGAGTACCAGAGCTAAATTGATACTCAAAGGGATCATTTACATGCCAAATAATCAGAGGCGGATTAAGGTAGTTGGAGGCCCCTGGTGGTAAAAGGTTTGAAACCCATGGGCTTAAGATTCGAAAAACTAAAACAGTGAAAAGAGTCACTTACTTTAAATTCTCAAAATAAAATGTATTGCTATAAGAGTTTTATTATAGCAATACATTTTATGTAGAGAATTTAAGGTAAGCGACTCTTTTCACTAATTTAGTTTTTTGACTCATCAGCTAAAGAAAAATCTTAACTGTATAAAAAAAAATTAAAAAACCTTACTTAAGAGCATACAGTTTTGTTATACAGTTTGATTTCTCTTTGGCAAATTCATCAATTATTTTTACCATATCTATTATTCTCTATATAATATGGCCATGCTGTTCAATTTGTCTTTTTTCCCCTAGTACTTCTTAAATTATTTTTAACACGTTTTAAAACTAAAAAAGATCATTCACCTGATGCATTCGATTTCGGTATTGTTACAAATATTTTCAAAAGTTTTTCTACATTAGGATTTCTCTTGCATCTCCATAAATTTCAAGCGGGGTTTCATTGTATCTTTGCTTTCTTTTCACTTCTTGTTCCAACATGACGTGGTTGGTTTGTCGCTGGCCTTTGCACTCATCAAGCTTGGAGCCCCTACCAGCGCTGGGGGGCCCTGGCGGCCACCAGATCCGACACCCGCTTAATACGCCACTGCACATAATCATATGATATGTCTGCCTACGATGTTCGCATCCAGAAAATCTATCGACTTCAGCCGGGGTCGAACCCGCATTCTTAGGCTAACGAAGTGGGCCTGCTACCTTTAAGCTACCGGAGAGGGGACACATTTAATATGTATATTTTTTACTTTTAAATACAATTAATTGTTTATTTATTTCAAATTCAGGTATGTTAATAAAAATCAAATGATTCATCTTAATCATAAAAAAGTGTCATACATTTTTTAAGATTTATCTACCCATAATTTGTATTTCGCTACTAACCTTAATTTCACACATATGCCCAAAAGTATTCCTACTTATTACTACTCATCATTCATCGTAATCAAAGCAAAAAGAAGCCAAACTATCCGAGGAAGAAGCTTTCAGATGTGTTACGGGCGGACGTCGGATCCCGAACTAATCGAAGGTCGTTAGCGATTGGAGCTCCAGATAGGAATTGAACCGCATTCCTTAATGGTGTTAAACACGCCCTACACTGATCAATTTTCAAATACGCTTCAAAGTCCCATTTCTCTCCTGACAAGATTCAAACTTTATCGTAAAATATGACCTAATAAACCGGATTCCGGCAAATGAAAGTATAAAAAGAAAGAAGTCCGAGCGAAAAACTCGGCAGTCCTCATATTTTTAAATAACGAGCAGCCCCCGAATAAAACAGAAAAAGAAACGCACCGGGTTGTAAGAAATAGATCAGCCTGTACGACATGCCAATACGTGGTATTTCACGTACAAAAAAATAAGATTCCCCCCCTCCCCTTAGCACATTATCGTTAGATATCCAGGAATGAAATAAATTCTCATTTTTATAGGCGCTCTGGGATATCTAAAAAGTAGGATCTGAAATATCGAAAAAGTGTTTCGTTGAGCGAAAAGTAATGTTTTAAAATTATTTTTGTGCCTTGTTTCTCTGATGCTCCTCTGCTTTTTCACCCCCAGACTCTTCTTGTTAAAAATTGAAGCTTCCTTTTTAAGTTTCGGCTTCTTGTTATTCTTCGACACTAGGTTTCAATTTTGTGTTACTAACCAAAGAATCTTTCGATCGATTAGTTCTTAAACATAGAGTTTATATTCAACTTAACTTATAAATATCAAAAATACACTTTCTGAGGAACATAATAAGGAATCAAGTAATATAAAAAAATTAAGTTAATTTCTACTTAGGTCAACAAAGAAATTTTTTATTTTAATTACTTTTTATTAAATAATTACAATTAATAAAAATATGTATATACATATGACAGAATAGCAAAATAAAGTGACAAAATAGAAAGCGATTTTCCTTGAAATTTTCCTTTTTTCTTTTCTATATAGGGTGTTGTACTATCTTTTTTTATTTTTGTTACTATTTATTCATCAATTAAATTTAATTATTCTAATAAAATAGTATAGTGAAAAAGATATCACATTCTCAGGAATTAGGCCATCCCAGGTGGGATCTGAAACCAATCTTTGAATTAGAAGTCCAACGCGCTATCCATTGTGCTACAGAGACATGAAGAACGATTTTCCCTTCTTTTATGCTGTTGGACTACTATTTTTGTTTGTTACTATTTATTAATTAAATTAAATTAATGAATTAATAGTTGAAAAAAATGCATTAACATCAAGTGACATTCACTACAAGTTTTTAAAAAATGTATTTGTGAACTTGAATGGATTAACAGAAATTATTTTATTAACGACTGAAAATTTGAACAAGATATATATAAAGGAAGAGATAATGAACTAATAGTAGGAATTGAATAAGCGCCTAATTTTCTGAAATTCTAATCAGTTTTTAGCACTAAGTATATAAACATAAAATCATTTCATTATAATCATAATTATTTATATTTATGATGTATTAATTAAATCTCATTATTCTAAGATGATGAGAATATTATTTATAGAAAAGGAGTAATTTAAGAAATTCTGGTTCCGGAGATAATTATAAAAGGGAAATTTTAAAAAAAATAAACCTTGTATAAGTAAATGATGTTTCATACATCTGAATATATTTAAAATTAAACAAAATACGATTCATTACATCTGTAACATTAATATTATGTATCTTAAAATGATTAATGTGTAACATTATTTATGCTGCTTTTTAATACTCTTGTTTTTTTTTTCAGGTACAGTATTACGGGAAACATCTCCTAGAAGAACAGGAGAAAACTTATGCGAGTGAAAGCATACAGGATTTTAGAATCAGATACCTATAACCTTATTTATTAATGGAGCCTCAAAAAAAATGTAAGAGATAAAAATCCCGGAATCTTGTAAAATCAGAAAAAAAACTTGTTTATTAGAGTATATCACGTTTTAATAAAGAAAAAAAAATGTTATCGTATTTTTTCTATTTTAGCATTCCTTGCATAAAGAATCAAAAGATTCTGCACCATGATGCACAATTTCATATTATAAATTCGTAACTTATTATAGTATATTGTGATAAAGTAACAAAGTAAATCCAAATTGAGCATGCTTTGTAATGATTAAAACGTAACACTATCTTAAAATGGACACAAAAATGCACAAATATTTACCATTGGTTGTATTAAAATGTACTCCATATCTCATATTATTTAAGAAGAATACGAGCAAAGAGAGAGCTATCCAAGTAAGAGTTTCACTGGGAATAGATTATATTATCAATATAGAGCTTTTTTAATTTTAAAACTGTATTTCCTAAGTACATGATTTTTCTGTATTTTACACAAGCGAAAGAGAAATAAGAACATATTATAATACTTATTCTAATTTTTTTTTATTTATTGGATATTTCATTTGTATATTTTTTTCTCATTGGAACCTTATAAAATATGACAAAATAATGGTTTTAAATTTCTACGAGAACATCCTAAGATACGTACAAGATACATTTCTAACTAATTATTATATCTAAAATACATCGAACATATATCTTTTAAAGCAATAAAATTTTTTAAAAAAAATTAGATTCTATTTTTTTAGTAGATATTTATTCCCTACTGATAGTAGGTTTATCTTAAATATTTAGTCAGTGCTTAAGGTTTCTCAAAAAGTACTGAATAATAATGGAAATATTGATAATGCGTGGGGGCAATAAGTATTAAATACAAATGTAAGTCTGTAGTGAAGAACTTTTAAAGCTGACTCCCTTCTGCGAAGGATGCATAATGACCCTTATTTGAGTTTTGATTTTTCAAATATAACTAATAATTCTATTTCAAAACTAAGAAAAACACATGGTAAATGAGTTAATATTTTTAATCAGGGGGACACACTATTAGAAAAAGTTCTCTTAAGATGTATTCATAAGAAAAATAAACATAAATAAGCTAGTTTATTGTATATCCATGAGCCCTAGTACCAATGAATACCACCGTGTAGAGGATCTGATGCACTTTAAATTTGTCGTGGCTCAAAGTACTCACTCTGGCATCACATGGTAGTTTGAAGAGGGGGCTAACAATTCTTGCTTTACAAAAATGTGGCGTATATAATCATTCATTCATTCATCATTGTATATCACTCAAAGTATTCAAAAATTTACATTTTATGCGAAATGTGATACAGTAATATGTATATATTAACATCATTTCATATTATTAAAATGTTTCTTATATTCTTAAAACATAAAACATATTTATTTTAAATTTATCTTTCTATGAATTTCATCTTTTGAATTTTTCTACGTGGAACATATTACTCATCGACTAGAAGAATATGTAAAAATTACTGTCCATTTTAGAGTTTTATGTATTGAGGAGCCTGTAGCGTTATAGTATATAAGTATCGAAAAAAATGATGCATCACAAAAATACATAATTTTAATGCAGAAAGTTTAAAAACTGTCTTGTATCACTTTGAATGTACAGAGACCACACATACTCCATATTCCTAACAAACGGAAACTGAACTCATACAGGGGAAAAAAACCCATAATTTTAATCTAAGGAATTCCATCCCCCCCCCCTTCTAGGAATCCCTGTTACCAATCGCCTGGACCGATAACAACCAAAATAAAAGTGCATAAATAACATGATTCTAAGACTCATCCCCGAGTCGAATATTTTTTTTCTCTGCTCTTCTTTTTGCCAACTTCCTTTTATAATGGTTTCTCTTCAAAAGCTTATTTCCAATAAGACGTCCAGCCCTAAGGATAAAGGATATTTACGCAAACAAGCTATTGGATGCATGGTATGGACATATCCTAGATATAGAGGAAGGGCAGATGCAAGAAAAGATTGGGAAGGAGGATAGATTCTTTCCTCTATATGCCTTTGCTATTCTGTTCTTATTATGTCTAATGTAAAATAGTACAGTCCAGTTTATTTGTATATGTAGATCGATATTTGAAATATTCCTTCCGAGGAAAGGGGGTGGGCGAGGACTGTGTTGGAAGCTTTTGTGGACTATGGATAAGGACCCGCATCTACATGGTCTTAAGAGGAACGGGAAAATATTTATTTTTGCGTATACGATGGGCAGTTCCGGATTTACGTCTGGAGATAAACAAGCTCCTGGATTTTTTTTTCCTCCTTGAGAGTCATTCCTGAATTTTTGTGGAATCGGAATGTTTTCGAATATTCCGTTATTTCGACGGTCCAAGATTGAAAAAAATGTAAATTTGCGTCGTGTGGACAGTGGCGGAAGGGGGGAACAAAAATGTAAAGGGGGTGAGGTAGATTGTGGTACCTCCCCCTCCTTACTTCTGCAGACTCAAAGGAGGCAGGTAGGGAACGCGATCCGAAAAATCCAAGATTGAAAGATATCTGCATATAAATTGGCGTCCGAATAAGAAGAAGCATTTCGGACCAATATGTAGTGCGCGGAATTTCGATATTGTTAGAGGATTTGCTTCATTTTCCAACAAACATGTTTCACTGGGGCAATTGTTTGAAGATGTCTGTGTGTGTGCTAAGATGCAACTTTCATATTCTTTTTTGAATTTCTGTTATTTCGAAAATGGAAAATAAATATATTTCCTTACATAGGTTTTCATACAGCTTATTTGAATAAACTTCATCGAATCTATAATATTCAGGTATTCATTAAAGTGATTTTTTTTTTTACAAAATTATTATATTAGGTTGGGGAAAAAGAAATCCATTATTTTTACGTGGACTTCAAAACTTTATTTAACATGTTTCGGATTACTTATTTTGGTCAAACATGTACCATTTTGTTCTATAATCTGTTGCCATTTTAAAGGTAGTTTCTTAATGCCTCTCTCATATAAGTTTTGGTCCCTTTGGCGAAAGGCTCTGGTTATTGGTTTTCACAATTTTCTCTTGATGTCAATTTTTTATCACCAAGGAAGTTTTGAAATGCAAGAAAAACACTAAATTCGGATCTCTACTGTCAACAATTCGACCGTTTTAGATAGCAATTGACAAGAAACGGCAAGAATTGGCCAAAAAGGAGAGTTGTTGCTTTCCATCAGGACAACACCAGGCCACACTCATCTATAGAAACTCCGGGAGGTTGGTTAGGAAATTTTGATGCATCCACCATATAGTCCGAACCTGGCACCAAGTGATCACCATGTTTTTCTTGCATTTCAAAACTTCCTTGGTGATAAGAAATTGACATCAAGAGAAGATTGTGAAAACCGATTACCAGTCTTTCGCCAATAGGGACCAAGACTTATATGAGAGAGGCATTATGAAATTACTTTTAAAATGGCAACATATTGCAGAACAAAATGGTGCATATTTGACCAAAATTGATAATCCGAAACATGTTAAATAAAGTTTTGAAGTTCACGTAAAAATAATGGATTTCTTTTTTCCCAACTTAATATTTGAGATGCAATTTAAATAAGGTCAAAATTATGCAAATCATGGAAAGGAGATTTTGAGGATTAAGTCACAAAACTTCTCATGACGACATACCTATTGATATTCGAATTTCGGTCGAGTGACGAGGATATCTGAGCTGGCACCACACTCCAAATTTCCACCCCGCGCTAATGTCAGAATTGAGTCTCGACAGATATAATTTACATCAAACCTTTTCAATAGCGTACACAAGTGAGTGAATATTAACGTCGCACTGTTCAGCTACACGAGGGCTTTTGGTGACGGACCGCGTCATTTTGAACCATGGTCAAGTGTCGAGGACGACACTTGAGTTGACAACCCTCTTCTAACTACCACACAAACGGGAGGACGTTTGAGCTCTCGACATATTTAACGTGCATCGGCCCATTCTACATGTTGGGTCTTCAGTGGTACTGGGTTCGAACTCATGACACGTCTGCCACGAGTCAGTTATCTTGACCACATGACGTACACAAGGGGTTTGAAACCCTTCACATACATCAAGAGATATTTAATTTTGACCATAAAAATTACGCCTTTGTGCTTCCATCTAGTTTTTTTAAATATAAAACCCTCCTCCAGAAAAGTAATCGTGTACTTTACGGGTCTCTTTAGATGGTGACCTGCTGTGGCCCCTGAACTGGAGCCCACGAATCGACAAAAGCAATGACGGTCACGAATTCACGATTTTAAAATTACATAA